TAGGCACACGAGGTTGGTCTGCAAGCATGCCCTTCGCATTTGAGAAATGCAAGCTGAAAGTATCTACACTCATCGTACATTTATTTTTTAATAACTGTGATTGCATTGTATTTTCTTCGAATTATCTTAATAATTTATGAGTTAATTGATTGTTGGTTGAAATAAACAATAGCAATAAAACGATCGACCTCATACAAATAACGGTCGACCTGACCATACACGGTCGACCGAACAAGTTAGTGAGGTCGATCGCGTATTTAATTCAACCGACCAAACCGGTTTGTTTGCAACATCCACCCAAACCTCCCCAATCCTCTATTTAAGAAACCCTCCCCTACTCATTCTACACCACAATCAGAATCCTATCCCACCACATCCACTCATTCTTCCTCTCTTTTCCCTTCTTCATCTTTTTCTCCAATTTCCAAAAACTCAAATTTTCAAAAACTCAAAGGAAGCTCCATTCCATTTCATCCTCATCAGTTAGAAGAAGAACAAGGTATAGCTTTCAGTCCTCTTTTTCATTTGATTCGATTCTTGTCTTATTCTTTGGTAGATTAGATTGTTTTCAAAAAATCTAAAGATGGAAAGGAGGGATTCTTCCTTCTGTTCGTCAGATGCGGTCGACCTGTTCATCATCGTGGTCGACCGCAACTGGCTTTTAATCTATTTTATTTCTGTTTTATGGACTGAGGTCGACCTATGATGATATTGAGGTCGACCGGTGAAGTTTTGCTACGATTTATGGCCTTATTATTTAGATCTATAGCTTGAAAAGAGGGATTTTCCCTTCTGTTTGCCAGATGCGGTCGACCTTTTCATATTCGTGGTCGACCGCATCTGGCTTTCAATCGATTTTTTCTTTTGTTGTATAGACTGAGGTCGACCTATGATGATATTGAGGTCGACCTGTGAAGTTTTGCTACGATTTTATGGCCTTATTATTTACATCTATAGCTTGAAAAGAGGAATTTTATCCTTCTGTTAGCCAGATGTGGTCGACCTTTTCATATTCTTGGTCGACCGCATCTGGCTTTCAAGCGATTTTATTTCTGTTTTATGGACCGAGGTCGACCTATGATTATATTGAGGTCGACCTGTGAAGTTTTGCTACGATTTTATGGCCTTATTATTTAGATCTATAGCTTGAAAAGAGGGATTTTCCCTTCTATTCGCCAGATGCGGTCGACCTTTTCATATTCGTGGTCGACCGCATCTGCCTTTCAATCGATTTTTTCTTTTGTTGTATAGACTGAGGTCGACCTGTGACGTTTTGCTACGAGTATTTGGGCCATTTCGGACTCGTTTCAATTTAGCCGAGGTCGACCTATGATGCTTCTGAGGTCGTCTATGAAGGCAAAAGTTCGAGTTGTGCCATTGTCTTTGAATTATTTGTGCGAAACTAACACTGGTCGACCTCTTCTAATTATGAGGTCGACCGGATCTGTTTTGCACTCAATTGCTACGAGCATTTGGGCCATTTCGGACTCGTTTCAATTTAGCCGAGGTCGACCTATGATGCTTCTGAGGTCGACCTATGAAGGCAAAAGTTCGAGTTGTGCCATTGTCTTTGAATTATTTGTGCGAAACTAACACTAGTCGACCTCTTCAATTTATGAGGTCGACCGGATCTGTTTTGCACTCAATTGCTACGAGCATTTGGGCCATTTCAGACTCGTTTCAATTTAGCCGAGGTCGGCCTATGATGCTTCTGAGGTCGACCTATGAAGGCAAAAGTTCGAGTTGTGCCATTGTCTTTGAATTATTTGTGCGAAACTAACACTGGTCGACCTCTTCTATTTATGAGGTCGACCGGATCTGTTTTGCACTCAATTGCTACTAGCATTTGGGCCATTTCAGACTCGTTTCAATTTAGCCGAGGTCGACCTATGAAGGCAAAAGTTCGAGTTGTGCCATTGTCTTTGAATTATTTGTGCGAAACTAACACTGGTCGACCTCTTCTATTTATGAGGTCGACCGGATCTGTTTTGCACTCAATTGCTACGAGCATTTGGGCCATTTTAGACTCGTTTCAAATTAGCCGAGGTCGACCTATGATGCTTCTGAGGTCGACCGATGAAGGTAAAAATTCGAGTTATTTGTGCTAAACTTATTGAGGTCGACCTGTGATGATATTGAGGTCGACCTCGGGCCATTTAAATCGATTGAAAGCCAGATGTTCATGGGGAGTGCAGTGCAGGACATTAGGCCACCTTGTAATGCACTCAAAGACACAAACTTCTGCTGCCTTCACCGAGTTCTCCTTTGCAACCCTATGCCGGCCACCGACAAGCAAACAACAACAATATATCAAAGAAGACACTAAAACCTAAACTCTCTTACATCCATAAGAACGGGACATGCGGGGCGGTGGTGAAGGCAACAGACGTTTGTGTCTTCGAGTGCATTCCAAGGTGGTCTAATGTTATGAACTGCACTCCTGCTGAAAGTCACATCTGGTTTTCAATCGATTTAAATTTTCCGAGGTCGACCTATGCTTCTTCTGAGGTCGACCTATGAAAGCAATTTTGTACTTGAATTGTTACGGGTTTATGTCGACCCATTCTCGTTTTAAATTAACTGAGGTCGACCTATGCTTCTTCTGAGGTCGATCCATTCTCGTTTCAATCAACTGAGGTCGACCTATGATTCTTTTGAGGTCGACCCATTCTCATTTTAAATTAACTGAGGTCGACCGCTTTATGGAGTGGTCGACCGCGTATTGTTCATTTCGAAAATGTGACTAACGTGTATTTTTGCTTGTTTGATCGCAGGATGTTTGGCAGCAAAAAGAAAAGAAAGGCACAAAAAGCTGCTGCCTCAAGTTCGGAATGGGAAGAGTTCAATCCCAATCTGTTCCAGACCAAGGAGCAAAGTGAGAACTATGAAGAGAAGAGAATGTACAACCGCAGGGTGGCTCCGGGAAGGCCATTGACGACGGATGCGTATTCTCATTTCGAGAATTACGGGTTTCTGAGACCCTTCATCGAGCAGGAGTGGTTGAAGGTGATATCTCTCAATGTACCATACTACCCAAAACTGGTACAGTACTTCTACACAGCATCGTCTACGAGCGCAATGCAAATGGATCCATTCACGCATTCAAATCCTATGTGAATGGGGTGGCGATGCGCATCAGCAAGAATGTGTTGGCGCAAGTACTGGAGGCTCCAAACGAGGGGAAGAGAATCCATTCTTACGGTGCTTGGAATGAAACGCATTTCACGAGAGCCAAGTAAATCCAGACGGTATGTGGTCTTGATGAAGAGGAAGATGCTCAGGGGCGCAATAGGCAACGAGTAACCACCTGACAGTTCAAGCCAGAGTTCTTCACCACATGCTTTCCTACAACATTCTGCCAAAGGGTGGACATCGGGAGACAGTCACCTACTTCGACATGGAGCTCCTCTCCAACCTACTGTTAAACGAGAAGGTGAACTTGCCATACTTGATCTTTAACCACATGCTTACTGCTGCAGAGAGTTCAAACAGGAATCTTCCCTATGGGATGATCCTCATTGTGCTATTTGAGCATTTTAATGTGAATTTAAGTGAAGAGGTGGGGTTAAGAATCTCAAGGCAGGAGTTCTATACTGTTTCATCTCTGAAAAAGATGGGCTTTGAGCTGCGTAATGGTGAGTATGTCAGAGTAAACAATGCTCATGGTGGTGATGATGATGATGATGAGGATGATGATGGTGATGAAGGAGCTCGAGACGAGCCAATGGCGGAGGCACAGAGTTCAACTCCACCGATCACCTTAGAGTGTGTGTGGGAACACATGGATGGCATGTACGAGTACATGGGCCAGATGTCCACCCAGATGACTGGCATGTACAACTACATGGGGCAAATGACCGCCAGATGAGCACAATGCAGGTGACCGTGAATGAGATGCGAGATGAGTGGCGATCTTTCAGCGGAAGATACATGCATCCCACCACATCCGACCACCATCATGCTAGCACCACCAATGAAGAAAATGTGGATGAAGGGAGATGAGTAGGAGCGTGGAGATTTTAGATTGTGTGTTTTTATTGTTGGTCAAAACGATTGTTGATTGTTATTCTGTTGTATTTTTAGTTTTATTTTTATGTGTGAACAATTATGATTTCTGTTTTTTTTTTTTGTATTTCTTGTTAGTTTGTTTAGTTGTTATGCTATGAATTGATGAGTCATTGTTATCATTATTTATGACTATTTATGATGGTTTGAAACATAATTTATACGATCAAAAGAACCACACAAATCGACATACATAAGCAAAAAAGACACGGGGCATAGGTTGACTTTCTTGTATTCGGTCGACCTCGTACCGGATTAGGTCGACCGCGAAACCAATACTTGATCTTCATTTTACGTCAAATGATTGGACACTTTGATAGAACACTTATCTTTTATCTGGTCGACCTCTTTCCTTATCCGGTCGACCATTTTATTAATGACTGCCATCAAGTGGTAGACCTATATAGCTTAGGTGGTCGACCATGTTGTTTCTGACGCCAACGAAATGGCCGACCGAGGTTTTATTCTGGTCGACCAAAAATAACAACTTAACTTAAGTGCGGTCGACCAGGTGGTCGTTGAGGTCGACCGCAATGCTTTCTCGTGCTGCCCAAATTAGTCAATTCGGTCGACCGCCTTCAGGAATAGGTCGACCGAAAAGTGCATGTCACCGTGACATGCATGTCATAGTAGGCATACCCTTAAGATTTTTCTTAAGAAATAGGCATTAAGGACTGATCTGACCCGCTATGCGCCAAACAAATACAACAAAAACTTTCACTACTGTAATTTTTCCTCCCCGGCCCATGGCCCGGATCAGGTGTTCCTGGAGTATTTGCTGGGTTAGGGCTTGGGCTTGGCGAGAATTGATATGCCTGTGAATATTGTTGATCGCAATGCCGGAGGAAATTGTTGCAATCTACGTGGCAAGACACGGAAGCGGGCGCTTCGCAATAGCAGGGCAGGCCACGTTCAAATTTTCAACTCAACGGGGCCCTTGAATTCTACATTCCCGCCTTCAAAAGATCACGCAACTCAAGTCTCCTCGAAGCGGCTCATATCATATTCAAAATTTCGGTTCTTCCAGAGAATTTCTTATGCTCTGAGCCTCTCTCGTTCTCAGACTCGGACTCTCAAGAGTGCATCCAAAAGCTTAGATAAGCGGAAATAAACTAGAGATCGTGAAGAAGATCGCCACTATGAAGTGAGTTCTACGCTTCTCTCCGTCTCTGCTTGTTTGATATTCATTTTTTCCCTGCAAAATTTTGAGCTATCCGCTTCTTACTCATTTCTTCGGGCGGTTTTTTGTAGAGCCGAAGACATGAACCAGTTGCAGTTGGTTGAGCGAGAGGAAATTGACGACGAAGAGGAACTGTTCGAAGCGATCGATAAGCGTGCGTATAGTCTCCACCTGTTTTCAGAATTGCTCTCTACGTGTTTGTCATATTTCCGCAGTGATTTTGTTTTTATTGCATCCGGAGATCTGATCGGTGTCGCTTAATCGCTGTGAATTTCGTTTGAGGTTTTAGCTGTTTGGTTTAGATTGAGATTCATCTGGTATTCAAAATCTGGGATAATTTGGCAGCATCTAGGCTAGGCTGTACAAAGCGAGTGCTTCTGCTGATATGGCTTGTTTTCGTCCGTTCTGGTAATCTTGAACGAAGACGTGTTAGCTTTCCGGATTGGCTTCCTCTTCTCAGATCTCGCGTTACTAATTTGATCCTCAAGCTTTTACGAGAAATCCTAGCGATTCTTAAGAGCAGGCAGCTCCCGATCGACAAATGGAACTGCTGCTTCTTTTGTTGTGGCATAGCTAGCGTGTCTGATCAGATTATGTGTTCTCTGATCCTTGTTTACTACTGAATCTGATCGATTGAGTTTTCCCTGAGATTTCTCTACTTCATGTCCTTGCTGCTTTGTAAGAATTTTGCGCTGTTTGTGCAGTGATATCTCAAGGAATCAATTCGGGAGATGTGAAGAAGCTGCAAGATGCAGGGATCTACACCTGCAATGGCCTGATGATGCATACAAAGAAGGTACAGCTAAACGAACGAATCTATTTGACACTTTTGGTTTTTGCAACGTCATTACTCATCAGTATATTACTCCTGTTTGGCTGGCAGCACTTAACCGGGATCAAGGGCTTGTCTGAGGCTAAGGTTGATAAGATATGTGAAGCTGCAGAAAAGATAGTGGTTAGTAGTTCCTACAGCAACGATGAACAATCTCTTAGTTCGGAAAAATATTGAAAGGACTTTCTTACTATCTAATGCAAAACCACTGTGCTTCTTTTTTCCTCAGAATTTTGGTTACATGACTGGCAGTGACGCTCTAATCAGAGTAAGTTCAAACCTATCTGGTTAGTTTGATCACAAAGAAGATCATGTATGGTTGAATGGATCAGCATACTGCCTTATTCTTCAACGGTTGTTTTGATGCATTGAAATAGTCATGTATCTAAATCTCGACCGTGTTTTTTTTCTTCCGGTTAGCGTAAGGCAGTTATCCGCATCACAACTGGAAGCCAAGCACTTGATGAACTGTTGGGAGGTAAGGGTTCTGTTCTGACTTCTATTGCATCAGAACTATGAAATGTTTGTCCTACTTCACTGGATGGTAGTTAATCAAGCTTGTGATCCGCCAAGTAACTAATGCTAATTGGTTTGATGGTCTCTTTAGGTGGTGTGGAAACTTCGTGCATCACGGAAGCCTTTGGAGAGTTCAGGTAAGAAAAGAATAGTATTGATGGTACTTAAGTTTTATTCTGCTGTCTGAGTAATTCGTAAACAATGAAGTACAAACTTAAGGACTGATCATTGAAATGCCTTCAGGTCTGGGAAGACGCAGCTTGCTCATACACTCTGTGTGTCCACTCAGGTTACTCTCTGAACCTACTTCTTTGAGCATGCTCCTGTGAAAGTTGTCCGGAAAATGATATGCTCAGAGGCTATCGTAGATATAAAAGGTGGCACACCCCTGTTTGGTTTTCATCCATTTTACATATTTGACAACAATTTCTTCAAATGGATCCAATGATAGGCATTTGGTCTTTTGCTAGACAGAATACTGTGTCTCTTTTTTCTCTTCACCTGAAAACCCCCTCCATGAAATCGCCTTGGATTGACCTAGAAGCCCTCTGAATCTTACATATCTAAGCGTTACTGAAAACTGCCGTTTCTTTCTGCAGCTACCCACCAACATGAATGGAGGGAATGGCAAAGTTGCTTACATAGATACTGAAGGGACTTTGTATCCTTGATCGTTTCTCTGCCTCTTTTCACAGCAAAACAATGAAGATGTCTCTCTTATAGTGTCCTTGCTATCATCGTGGTTTCTTCTTAACTTTGAGTTCTTGCAGCCGCCCTGATAGAATAGTTCCAATTGCGGAAAGATTTGGCATGGATCCAGGGGCCGTGCTTGATAATGTAAAAGAAAATTGCGTCATTACTAAAACCGATTGGATTAGGAAATCAGTCATATCACTGATTTTGGTCACTAAGTCTTCTCTTTTGATTTTTAAGATCATTTATGCTCGGGCATACACTTACGAGCACCAGTACAATCTGCTCCTTGGTCTGGCAGCAAAAATGTCTGAAGAACCATTCAGACTTTTGGTACGTTTGGTTAGCTGAATTACCCCATCTATCCAACCGAAATGACTGATTGTTTATTCTGTAAGACCACCGAATTCACTCGGTTTCTTCCTCTGTGTATTCACTTCAGGTTGTGGACTCTGTGATTGCTCTTTTCCGAGTGGATTTCACAGGCAGAGGGGAACTTGCTGAACGACAGGTGAATCCATCGTGCCTCCGCTTCACGAGACTTTGTTTGCACATTGAAACAATCATTAGTTCCACAGTTGGTTGCACTAACTGACAGTATCAAGAAATTTCTATCTACAGCAAAAGCTGGCGCAGATGCTATCCAGATTGACCAAGATAGCTGAGGAATTCAATGTGGCAGTGTATATGACCAACCAAGGTAACCCACCTCTTCCATTGATGGAGTCCTTTAACGGTCTTGCAAAGCATGAAGTCATATACATACATGATCCCGAAAGAAGAGAAGGGGAAGGGTTGGTTGCCCATCCTAACTCTTTGCTCATCTATTTGTTCGTGGTTGCAGTGATTGCTGACCCTGGAGGTGGAGTATTCATATCAGACCCCAAGAAACCAGCAGGAGGGCACGTGCTGGCACATGCTGCCACAATCAGGTTGATGTTCAGGAAAGGCAAAGGCGAGCAACGTGTCTGCAAGGTGTTTGACGCCCCCAATCTTCCCGAGGCTGAAGCAATATCCTTTATTTATTTAACCTCACTGTGCTTTTCCTCTCAGGTTCTTATATCTAACCCTGGAGAGTCCCCCGTTAATATGGACTGTTGTTTCCCTTGACAGAAAACACGTATTTCAGATAACACCAGGAGGTATTGCAGATGCGAAGGACTAAAACCAACCAGATTATCTACTTCATCACGCAGAGAACTAGTAACGTTTGTTTCACAATCTCCAGCATTTAACTAGCTGCTCCGCTTGTTTAATTTGTTACAGTTATCGCGATAGGAATTGGTATATTAAGTATGTAATACGATAGAAAGAACTTATGATCGTCGTTGCTACTTGTCTCTCTTCCGGCCTTTGGCTTGTTGTTGGCAAATCCCCTGTACAGGGAAATATTTCTTATTTCAAGATGATATATTCAGCAGGAGCAGGAATCTCCCTTTAGTCGAGTTTTGATCACGAGCAACATGTACAGGAGCTCCCCCGATACTAATACCAGTAGTACAAAGGTGGCAACATCTCAGAATAAGCAAAATTCAAACAAGATGATAGCGTCGAAGGCAATGGGGGAAAAAGGCCCTATTAATAACAAAAGCCTTGCCACTCGGGGGGTTATAGCTCGGTTGGTACTCAGTAGTGCTCGGACCAGTTGTAAGAGCTTCCGACTCGAGGCATGCCACCGCTCTCTTTCTTAGCATCTGCATCCACCTTGAAGTTTGAACCACAGACCTGGCCCGAGCTGTCGACTCTTGGTATAGGCTTCAACTCATTCAGCGGGTGCTCAAAGCTCCTCAACCCTCCAGAAGTGGTAAAGAAGCATCCTGAGATTGCGAACAGAAGCAGGATCAGTGATTCATTCGTAACCTGAGCATAAACCAACCACCTTTGTTCCTGGAAATGGAGATACATTCTGAAGGGATCTCAAGAGCAGCAATTACCTTTGGGGAACGGCGCAAAAGATTTACCACAACCCTTCTTCACAACTTCAGTGTCATCCGAAAGAACAAGATGACCTTCAGAATCAGTTCCCCAGAAGAAGGGTACACTTCCATCAGCATCCTGCAGAACATGGACAAAAAAGTTTGGTTTCAAGCTCCATGGCATGAAGAAGGGGGTCAAAATCCAGTATGTATATAGTTAACAGCAGAGGGTTAATTGTGACTCACAGAAGCAAACATTGTGGCCTTGGCAGCGCTGTCATAGAGCACGAAAGCAAACTTGCCCTGGATGTCTCTGATGACTTGGTCCGGAGGGTATGGCCCACGGTCTCTGAGAGTCCTGTAAGCTTCAATGACGATGATAACCTCATTCGCAGCTTTGTTTAGCCCGTACTGTTGCTTCAGGACGGCTACATTCTCAATGTGGCCTTGGAACAAGCAGAAGATGTCGTCCACCACCGCGAATAACCTATCACCAGAAGCAATGCCAACATACCATGGACCAAGCAAGTTTAGTAAGCAACATACATGAACACACACACACAAGTCATGTGAAAGTTATCTCTCGATCTTTGAGTGACCTAGAAAGAGACCCTAGATTAGCCAAATCCAAATTCTACAACTAAATCAATGAATGCACTCACTACACGGTCGGAACATCTAACTTAGGAACCTAATTATTTAGGAAAGGTTCATAGGAGACCTTATCATATGCATAAGAACCAGAGAACTGAATCAGAACTCCGAGCAGCAGTCGATTCAACAGGCAAGCTCATTCACAAGGGATGAACACTTAACAATGATTCACATTCGAAAACTGCGAGGACAGGAAGATCTATTTGATCGCCCACATTGACAAATTTCCAGCTCATCGTATATTAATGAAGCCATGACTAATTCAATCCTATCCAATCCAATCAACCAACCCATCTGATCAAACAGTCGAAAATCATATCAGACCAGCCCATAAGAGTTGGATCACTAAAAAGCGCTCATTCAAAACAGGACAAGAGTAACAAATCTAGGATTGGGAAGATTGAATAATGAACAGCATCGTCTACCTAGGGACGAGAGGATTCTGCTTATGAAGAGAGTATGCGATCAACCCAAAAGAGCCGAGATTGACGATGACGGAACCAGGGTGAAGGGACTCGAAATGCTTGGCCATGAACCCATCTTTGAGAGCGGAGGCGGCACTACCGGCGGCCGGGCTCTGGAGCTCCGCCGGGGACTTGGCCACGTTCTTATTGAACACAGCTAACATTTGATTCGGGGGACCAAAATGCGTGCACTGTTTGTTTATCTGAAATCGCACCAGAGATCAAACGAAGATTTGTGGAGAGATGGAAACGAAGAGAAGAGAAGAGAAGAGAAGAGAAGGGAAGGGAAGGGGAAAAGGAGTGGTTAGTTAAATAAGGTATCTAGTAAATCGGATTTGTTTTGGATTTTTCCCCCAATTTTTTTTTTTTCTATAGCAAAATTCATTTCCTGTTCTGCCGCTCGATTCTGGGATTCATTTCCTGTAACGACAGTGAAGATACATACTGGAATTCGAACCATGATTATTTAAAAAAAAAGTAAGGATGATAACCAAACACACTAAGTACATTTATTGTATCTTTTTAAATTAAAAACATATAATATCATAAAGGAAAAAACTCTTCCCCATTTCAAAGTCCCTGCTCCAAGAGTGTTTGTAGGAAGGGTAGAATAGGAAGTGTCAATTTTTTTCTCTTTCCTCTGTGGAATGGGTCAACTTACCGTACACATGCGAATTTAAACGGGTCTAGGAGTGTCATTTTTTTTCTTTAAGCTCTTTTATTTCTCCGTGGTGATAAAATATATATGAAAAGGCAAAAACAATCTCCTTTTTATTGCTAAAAATAAAAATTTAACAATAAAATAATGCATGGTATCTAATGGGCTAACCGCTAACCATAAAATAAAAGTGTTGAATGGGCCTAACCTACACGGGATTTGGCCATCAAGTAAAATAAATGAACATCATTGGTTTGTCATTCTAAAACAAGCTATTTTCTCTGGCATAATATATATATTATGCTTATTTTATATTTTAGTGGCTAAAATATAATGTATTTTAAAGTTATTCAATGGTTCAACATCGACCAACCCAATTAGTCCAATTTTTATCATTTCAAATATATATTATATAATTATTTGATATCATAATGATAAAATTTTAGTGTATTTTATAGGGAATCGTTTGGTATTTGTTAGTAAAAAACTAAACATAAAGATCTATTTGGTTATTTTAAACATTAAACCGATCCTAAACATTTTCAGTTCCTTTTGGATTTCTATGGTTTTATTCCCGAATAAGTGATGTGCAAATGGCGAATTGTAGTCGTCTCTTTTCTTTCACTATTTTTTATTTTCAAATAGAAAGTTTAAAAGTAAAGAATAATTAGAATTTAGTATGGGTCGGTCAAACAGGCTGAATTTCAAGTTTTGGCTCGTTTGTTTTATGCATTGCAAATTTATTAGCATGTTGATGGAAAATGGCTTGGAAAGAAGACATATAAGTTGTACCTTTGCAGAAATGTCATCAAATGTTTGAATGCTTTGTGAATCTGGTTCCGTGACTTTTGTGATGGTGTATGTGCTTGACGATTGCTCGATGTTGTAACTGCTTAATTTGAGAGTAAATCTTTTGATTTTCCCTATGAGTTGTGATACCAGTTCTGGTGGTTGCAGCATGTTGTCGTTGTTGGCCTGTAAAAGTTGTTTTGTCGTGATGCTAAATACCTTTCTTTCTTTTTTAACAAATTGTGTAGTAGTGCTATGAAACAGACCACCCATGAACGCTACGCTTGTTATGGTCTGTTCTTACTTCCGATGGTGAGAAATTGTGAATTGAGAATCATATTCACCTACCGCACTGTGTTTGGCTGGTGGTTGCTTACTGTACTCTCTAGAGTTACGAAACAGACTACCCATGAACATTACCCTTAAGAGTCCATAACTTCGCGAATAACCAAATTTAGGCAATCAAAGGTGTTGGATGTGTGATGATTTTTTATGGCTTAATTGTTTGTGAATTGGATATCTGATCTTTGTATGGTTAGAGGGGATGTTTGCTTAATAGAATAATCCATTTTAATTCATGTTTATTTTTAACATGAACTTTAGTAACTCAAAACCTTCGAGACACATATCACCTACTGCATTGTATCATTTTGTCTGGGTGCTTGCTGTGTTGTCAAACTTCTTTGCTGCTGCTGCTGCTTTTACACTAACAGGGAGTTAAGAACCCATGAATGTTTCCGTTTGACACAAACAGGAGGACTTGCTTCTAAATCGTGCAATAAAGATGATTGGAGGAAACATCTCTGTTGCAGTTGATATACTGGAGACCAGAACAAAAACAACGTATAACATCAAAACCAACCATCTGAACTATTAGCATTGTTCTTTACTCTTTTTTCGTGGTTGAGTCTCCTTCATAAAATTTAGTTTGTTTTTAGAAAATTTTGCTTCTGCAATCCTGTCTTGCCACCAACGCGTTCAGTAGATGGAGATGGCAGAGGCGAAGGCTATTTTTGTGTTGGATAACTCTTTTCTCCGACAAAAATGGAGTGAAGAAAGGAATTATGATCAGTAAGGATATGGTTATCTTACATAACGGTCTCTATTCTGTTTGAATTGAGCTTGGGAGGCAGTGATAAGGACGAGCTGCAACCAATTCATAGTGAGAAGAGAGCTATGAACTGTAATCATGTCTTATTTCAAGTTAGAAGGTAGTTTCAGTATAAGGATTATTTAATTTGACAAGTTGTTTCGTCCATGATTCATGGTAGTTTCAGTGCCATTCTAGCCATTGTTTAGTCATAATTTTTGAGAATTGATGTGCGAGTAATGACTTTCACTTAGCTTCAATTATTATGTGTTTATTTATTTGCATGTGATAGAATTCTCTTTTCCTTTTCTTTGAATTCAGTTTCATACTCTAATTGTATCATTTGTACATAGGCAAATCATGCTCGAGATGACAACTCGCTGATATGGCTGGTGCAAGGAACGAAGGCATCATTAGAATTCAGACCGACAATAGGGAGGGATGCCCAAGACTAATTCAATGATGATTGATGATGGTATAATAAAAACTGCAGTCTGCATCAGCACCAATTTCTAGGCCTAAGTAAAGTTATTCAACCCAGAACTCTACTTAGCGCTAAAAATTGCCCTCACCCAAACTTGATCTTGTTTGACCCACTTCTGAAGAGTCAAGATATATGACTAATCCTCTTCGTTCGTATTTTCTTATTGACTCTTTCTGACCCTTTAGGTTGGGGCGTGTCGGGAAGAATCGGATTAGTGGGTCGGTCCTAATCAAGTGGAATCCCAATTCCTTCACTCTCACTTAGGGGTGGGATTCGGTCGGTAAACGGTAAATTGTTTACCGAATTTACCGGTTTCGGTATACCGAAGTTGGTCAAATTGGTTATCGATTACCGATACCGGTTTATAACCGGTTTACCGATTACCGAATTACCGGTAAACGGTTACAAACCGGTATTACCGAAATACCATGAGAAGCGATTTCGGGCGGTTTTTCGGTCAGTTTACCGAAAATTTACCGAACCGAATTTCTGGAAGTGGGGTGATGTAATATTTTAATTTTTTTGAGTTTTTTTCATCATTTTTGTAATTAATAATTTATTATTAACTCTTATTTACAATATTTTTGAGGCCTATACTTACTTACATTCATGTATGTAATATTTTATATTTGTGAATAATGATGTATATGTTATATGTTAGTGGAGTAGGGAGGGGGGATTTCGGTATCTGTATTACCGATTTACCGTCGGTATTTACCGATACCGTGTCCGGTAAACCGACTCCCCCAACTTCCCGGTCGGCTGCCGGTAAACGGTTTACCGTTTACCGCCGGTTACCGGTTCGGTAAAACGGTAAACCGTTTACCGGATTACCGTTTACCACCCCTACTCTCACTTGCTTTCTCTCCCATTCCGCAAGTGGGTAACATAAAATAATCCGGCCAACGGGCCGAGTAATAAGCTAGTTTTAAAAAGAGTTTGATTTGCTCTATTTCAAATTTCCTGCAACGAGAGTGAAAGTAGTAAGGGTATTTTCGTCTACACAATCAATTTTTTTATCTCATATAAAAATATATCAATGCTAGGTTTTGAACCATGGTCTCTTCCATCAAAGACAAGAATTGTAACCAATTAACTAGACACATTTGTTGTACTTTATTAATACAAAACATAGAGGAAGTTAAAATTATGAAAAACATAGTACTTTTCTATCACGGTTAGTTAGTCCGCTAAGTCTCCTGTAAGTATTTTTTGGTGTTTGATAAATATATTTTCGTATTTTAATAATTAATTTAGAATTTTTTCTAACTTATAAATGAAGGATAATCTTAAAATCTCAACACAAATATCATTGGTTGGAATATTGCGCATTGAATTGAAGTGTTGAATGATGACATAAGAACATTGGTACCATACATTTCAAGAAAAATAAACATGACAAACACCGATACCAATTATCTCGACAGTCTATGCTAAAATTCGAATTTGTTTAATCATTCAATTTGAGTGATAGTTTAGTCAAAGCAAGCAAATAATTCACGATTGTGTATGAACAAAAATAAAAACATATGTATTGTATTATGAAAAATGTATTTATTTTAACAATCTAAAAAAAACAATCAAGACTTCCATATACAACCCCTTATTTCAGCATTGTAATTAATGAAACAATTTTTATCAACATGATGCAATGTTCAAGCTAAGGTCCAATTATTAATCACCAGTATATAGTATTCAACTTAGTAAACTATTTCAATATCCACGGCTAACTATTAATGATTACTTGCTTTCTGTTTGAGGGTTTAATGTAACACTCTCATGCCTACACTCTAAGCATTTTTTTCTTTTCTCCAATATTGTTTTGCAATTATTTGTTAAATCAACTATGTTTCTAGCTTTCCATTCCTAATTATTCACTGCTTCCTACCAACTTATGGGAATGATGAATATTTTTTTCATGTATAATCTATTGACTATGAATGTTGCTTATTACTTAAACTCAACGGTATCCATGTTAGGTTTGATGTCTCCAACATATTCTCACAATTTCTCGAAAAAGCATCATATCTTGCGATTGATATCATAGTTTTGTTAGGTAAAGTTCAACAAACTCAATCAATATTCGAACTCTTTGAAGTAGCTATGTACATGTAAATATGAAGTACTGAGTAGCTAAAACTCTACTTGAGTTAGTACGATTTTTTGAGCTATCAATTAAAATTCAATACATTATTATCTTATTACAATTTAGTCATACTAATTGTGCAGTAGGGGACATCTTATCAAAATTGTATCGAAAGACTCCTTGATTGATCAGTTTCAGGATGTAATCAAT